GCCGTGGGGCTGGACCGATGCCGGCACGGCGCTGGACCGATCCCAGCACCGTCCGGAGTGGCTTTCCCTGGTGGGCCCTTTCCCCAAGGCCACAGGGGTGATGTGTTTTGGGGACAGTTCATCCAGCTCCATGCCGGGGCGCGGAGCGGGGAGAAGTGCTGTGGGCATCTCCGGACCGGCACTGCCGTTTCGGAGGTTGACACCGGCTCTGTCTGCACCCACGGCATGGGATGGGGTTTCAGCTGGGGGTGATTAGACCCACCCTGGGCAGAGTCTGGGAGACCCATGCAGGGAAGCAACCCCTGAAAACCTGGGACACGCTTGGGCTGAGGCTGGACCCCACGGTGGATGCGGCTGTTTGGGTACGGGAAGGGCAGCACCGGCATCAGCCCACGTCGCGTCCTGGTGCAGCTGCTGCCGAGCGCAGGAGCGTGCCTGCACCGTGGCATGCACAGCCAGCCCGGGACGGGTATCTCCCACATCAAAAATGAAGATCATGATTAGAAGCGATGTGCACTTGGGAGCGTGAGATAAGACCCCAAAGCAAGTGTATAAGTACGACTGATTAACAAATAAACCCTCACTAATTGCCTTAAAAAGTCAGATCTCAACAGCCAGGAAGGAAAAAAAAAAAAGAAAGATTTAAATTTTCCTTGGGCTAAACATTTTTCCAGCACGCTCAGACTCGCTCTGAATCTTTCCAGTCATTATCTCCCTAATTAATGCACACCGCAAACCAAAAACAAATTTCCCCACCTCGTGGCTCCTGGAGGTTCAGCCATAATAACCAAACCTCAGGAACGAGGTCAGCGATTGCCCGGCAAGCGGTGTCTCAAGGTGGGAGGCAGCCTGGAACAGGGAAGAGATGAAGTTATTATCAGCAAAAGAAGTGGAATAAGCCTTTAATTTTCTCCAGCTGTTGCTGGATGTGCTGAGGGACAGGTGAGCTCCCCGGGATGGAGCGGGTGAGCCGGGCAATGGGGGGGCACCTCACCTCCTGACAGCCCCCCGCGCCTCGGGGAAAATCAGGGCCATGTAGTGGTTTTTTAATTACCATCACTTTATTTTCTGTAATTGACACAAAACCAGCTCCAGCCCTTATTGCCCCCAAAAGAATTCAAGTAATCCCTTTTAAGCAAAGTGATGCTCCAGAGCTCATCACCAGGACGGGATCCTGGCGCAGCTCCAGGCCATGGCTGGGGCTGAAGGCACCCGTCTGCTGGGACCTGACTGTGCAAGAACACCCCAAATCAGGCTGTGCTGCCTTGCCTGAGGGATGCCCCAATGTGTAAAACCCCAAAAGTGCTGCTTTGGGGTCTCGGTGCATGTTTACAGCCTCCTCCTGCCCTCAGTGTGCCACCACGCCTGCAGACCTGCCAGCACAGGGCAGCCCGCGGGCTCAGCTGGAGTGGGAAAAACTGTTGATCAAAGGGTAAAATTAAATAAAACGACACAAACAGAACAGAAGAAGCCATCCCGGGCAGCTTGAAATACAAGTGAAAATTTCAGGTAAAAGCAACCAGGTGCAGGCGGAGGACTGCCCGGCCAGCCGGCTCACTTCTCCCGCAGCGCTGGCTCCAAGGAATAACGGTAATTACAGCTTCCTAATGCCTCCAGGTCGTTTTCTTTTTCCTTGTGTAACATAATTTCTATAGGGCTTGTCGTTGTTATTAGGAGAATTAATCTAAATCTTGCCATGCTCTGGCTGCTTTGCCGTCCGCTGGAGCCATCCCGAGGAGGGTCAAAGAGGCAGGTCCTCTTCATGGCATGCGAATAAAAAAATTAAAAAATTAAAAATGGAGGTCAGCTGGAGGCTACGGCGGAGGAAATTAATGATTTTTTAAACAACCAGGGAAGTTTGCGTCGACCTGGTAACGTAATTCAATTTCTGTCATTAAACCCGTGTTGCTGATGTGGGGCTGCTTTTGCCCAACTAAGCAAAATCCTCTTATTAAGCCAGAATTGTCATTAGCGTAATAATAAAATGAGGATGAACGGCAGAGGGGAAGGACTGGCCGCAGCCCAGCGGAGGCGATGGGGATGCCCAGTGCCACAGAGCCAGGGAAGAGCAGAGCAGGTTTCTGAGCACCCGCAGCGGTCCGGGGTAGGACGAGGGACGCCACGGTGCCCGGGATGGCCAGGGGTGCTCCGTGGAGCTGGAAAAGGGCAGGGATGATGGGATCTGCCCTGCAGGGTCGCATCCTGCATCCTCAGCACCGGGTGCTGCCAATCCCCCTGACCAAAATCCCTGCTGGCATTGGCGGCTCCGGCCAGGTTTCCAGAAAAACATCCCATCCTTATTTAAACCATCTTGAGGGTTTTTTGGGCTCCAGGTAATTTTCCTTCTCATTGCTGCACGGGTGGATCCACAGGAAGACAAAGCCACTGCCGTGCCCACCCCAGCCTCATCCCTTCCCTCCTCCCAACGCCTGGGGAAGGGTTAGGAAAAGCACTTGCACCCTCCCGTGCCTGCGTCCACAAACTGCAAGGCAGCGTGGAATTGTGGCTGGGTTCCCCGTGGCACACAGTGCTGGAGAACCCACGAGTGGGAGGAATTATCGCCGTCCCCTTGCCGCTGGCGGTCCCAAGGAGGTTTCCTTCCACCGCAGCATCTCTGGGGAAACCACCCCAAAAATATCTTCCTTCCCAGTGCCGTGGGCGAGGGGCAGCGGGGAGGCATCCCAGGGATGGATGGTCCCGTCGTGTTCCAGGGTGGGAAGCGAAGGGGCAGCTCCTGCCCTCCCAGGCTCGCGTGGAGGTCACCAGATCAGGGGCAAAGCAGCAGATCAGGGGATTAATCGGTCGAAAAGCAGCTTGAACCTGATTAGTAATTAGAGCCAGAGGTCATCCTGCAGATGGGGAAGGTGGTGAGGGTGATGCCACGGTGCACGAGCCAGCGGCAGGGCAGGAGCGAGACGTGGTGCTGGCTCCTGTGCTCCAGAGCAGACTTTACCCCCTTGGAGGAGGGAACTGGAGTTCAGCAAAGCCCAGCTCAAGTCTTCAGCCTCCATGAACCCGGTATCCAACCCTGCCAGGGCAAAGGGACCTTTGGGAGGCAGAGAAGGGTTGTACCTTCCAGTCTTGCAGGCAGCTTCATGCAGAGAAACCGTTGTGAGACACTACTAAAACTCAGATCCCTTCTGCCCAGAAAATCCTGCCAGCCCAGAAGGTACCAAGAACACACTATGAAACAAGGTAAAACCAGCTTCAGTGGGGCAAAAAATGCTAACTGGAGTGAAAAGGACACCTTCCCCAATTAAAGTTTTGACCCCAGGAATGCTGGAAGGCCTCCAATGCATCAGCATCGTCCTTTCACCCGGCAAAACCTGGGGCAGCAGTAACAGGCAGGGGATAAAACCACACGCACCGACCTCAGGCTAATCCTTCGGGATGCGAGACCACGCTGGATGCAAGACACCACGTGTCTGCACCCAGGGATGCGGGTCCGTGGCTGGAGACGGAGACATCAGGTGAAATCTGCTCTCAGCCTTCTGGCCAGGGCTTTGGAGACACAGAAACCTGCCCTGCATTCATACCTGCATTTATACTTGCCTCGCACGCATCCCACCGCTGGTGCGGCCTCCCCATCCTTGCATCCAAAACTGGGAAAACCAAGCAGAGAAGGAATCCCATGACAGATGCACCAGGGTGCCATCACTAGTGCTTTTTAAGAGAAGAGGTTATTTCTCCAACACAGTGAATCAGTGCTTTATTTTCAATATTGAAAGAGGTACAAGACCAGCAATGAGCTCAAGGTAATGAGCTGGCGTGTTGCACTTTTTATTGGTGCCCTCGTAAGGGTGGGATTGAGGCAAAACACATGCAGAGAAAAACCTCCGACGTGCCCCTGAGTGCAGCTGCACCGTAACAGCATCTGCAGCGCAGCCTCACCAAACCACCCACGCATTGCACTAGAGCTGTACCACCGGACCCACGGGTCAGCAAAAGGTCTTCAAAAATCCTAGCGTCTTGATTTCAGAGGAGGATTTGGTTTCTGGGACAGGGAGGGAAGGCCACGAATCTGATGCCGATTTAAGGAGAAATCAGTGTCACAGCCCTTCCGAGCGTCAGAGGGAACGCAGATGTGATTCCTAAAGCCTGAGTTGTGCTAAGCGCAGCCCGTGAGCCCGGTTCTGGCCTCCCTTGCACCAGTGTACAGCAAGGAGGAACCGTTAGTGCCACTGGAGTTCATAGCACAGTGATAAATCTCGTGTAAGGCCAAGTCAGAATCAAGCCCAGAGGATGCGGGAAATCTAGAACTGTCTCTACTGTGTGCAAAATGGGTATAGGGGTAAAATACCTGGATGCTGTCTAGTGGGATCATAAAATCATCCTTGCCCTAGCACCCTGGAAGGGTTTATATAGGGCAATTCATACCATGATCTCAGCCCAGAATAGCACCAGAGATTAACCCAGGCTCTGACCTCAGCTAATCCAGCGTTACTCCCTGGAAATGCCAGTGGAGCGACTCTGGATTGCATCAGTGCCACGGCAGAATCGGCCCCTCCTGGCTGTGATCTGGAGGGTGTCCTGGCTCAGCTGAAGTCACCAGCAAAACCGCCCCAGAGCTCAGCAGAGGCAGGACCGCAGGCACGCGTGCTGCTTTAATGGACAAAACCGAAAGGACTCAGCAGTAGCTGCTGCCAGCAAAGGCGGGGATGCTGGGGAGAACAGATGGTTGGGGAGGGGCTAAGGGTGGCTAAAATGAAGAGCTGTAGCCTTTGCATCACCTCAATTCATGTGAAACACCCTCAGGCAAAGGTCATACAACCTGTCACCCAGCAAGCACAGAGCTTCAGCAACCCCATTTTTCCCCTCACCTCCCCCGTGCTCCTCCCAGCACCCCAAACCGGAGCAGCCCCAAGAGGGAACCGGCACAGGGAAACCAGGAGCTTCTTCAGAGTTTCTTTTGCTCCTGGTGCCCCCTTGACCAGACAGCGCACCCCAAGGTGTGAACGCAGGATCAGCCCAAGAGCCATGTGCCAAGTAGAGCAGCTCGCTTACTTCTCCTTCAGGTCCTTGTCTGCTTTGCCTAAAAGAGCAGGGAGAAAAAATCAGGGCTTGTGTATCTTGCTCCAGAATCCCCAGTCCCTTTTATATGGTTATTTTGCTACATGCAGCTAACATCTCACAGCCATTGTAGTCCGTCAAGCAGGAAAGGAAGTTGTGGCCAGGGTGCTGCCCTGAACTTGGCCTCCCAAAGCCTTTTTCTGACTTGGGGGAAGCAAACAGCATGATAATCACAACAGCAAGAAGCCCTGCCCTTCACCACAGACCCACTCCCTACCCGTAGGGCACCTGCAAATATTCAAAGCTCCCACCTGACTTCCCCAAGGAGTGAACCAGCAAATTCTCCCAGCCCCTTTGACGCTGCTGCAGAAACTCCCTGCCCTCACTTTGCACCACCAGCAGAAAACCAGAAAACCCCCAAGGCTCAGCCACCCCTCAGACACACAGGGACCTGCGGCCGCATCCAAGAGTTCCAGCACTCTCTGCATTTCACCGTGGGAGGTCAGGGAGCTCCTGCCGAGCTGGGCAGACTGATGCAGGGGAGATTTATTTAGGATGCAGGTGGCTCCTTGGCTTATCTGAACAGTGTCCTGGTTTCAGCTGGGATAGAGTTAATTATCTACCTAGTAGCTGGTATAGTGCTATGTTTTTGAGTTAGGTATGAGAAGAATGTTGATAACATGCTGATGTTTTCAGTTGTTGCTAAGTAATGTTTAGTCTAAAGTCAAGGATTTTTCAGCTTCTAATGCCCAGCCAACAAGAAGGCTGGAGGGGCACAAGAAGTTGGGAGGGGGGACAGCCAGAGCAGCTGACCCAAACTGGCCAAAGGGGTATTCCATAGCATGTGACATCATGTCCAGTATATAAACTGGGGGAGTGGGGGTGGGGGGGAATCACCACTCGGGGACTAACTGGGCATCAACTAGCAGGTGGTGAGCAATTGCATTGTGCATCACTTGGATATATTCCAATCCTTTTATTATTACTATTGTCATTTTATTAGTGTTATCATTATTAGTTTCTTCTTTTCTGTTCTATTAAACCGTTCTTATCTCAACCCATGAGTTTTACTTCTTTTCCCGATTACCCCCCTATCCCACTGGGTGGGGGGGGAAGTGAGTGACCTGCGGCGTGGTGCTTAGTTGCTGGCTGGGGTTAAACCACGACAATGGCTAGCTATGCTCTGCCGAAAGCAGTGCGTCACACGCAGCGTGGCCTGGCTATCAGCAGCTTCCCCAAAAATAACTACGTCGGGCGGAACAGCTGCCAAGCCACAGCTTTTACCTTTCGGGATGAACTTCAGCGAGCTGCTGAATATTCAGAAGCGGGACAGCCCCCTCTTTGGCCCATCATTGAGGAATTCGTGGCCGAGCCCGTTGCCACACTTGCCACAAGACACCTAGAAACGCAAGGAGAGGGTTTGACAGTGAGCTATCTTTCTCAGCAGACAGGCTCATAAAAAAAAAAGTCCATGGGGTTTTGGGTTTTTTTGCTACTTCCCAAACGTTTCAGAAACGTCACCTTTAAAGCCCCCGGCCGCTCCTTGCGCTTGGACACGCTGTCCTCGTGGACGGTCTCGGTGAAGGCTGGCCACGGGGATGAGTGCTCGTACTTGGCGTGGCTGGAGAACAGCTCATGGCCGCACTTGGCACAGACGTAGATGCCTGGGGAGGGCGGCAGGAGAGGGGTCAGTGCTGGGGGCAGCCCCCCGGCCGGCTCCCAGCAGCGATTATCAGGGATTGGGGGGGCTGGAGGGGGGGGGGTGGGCAGCGGTGAGGACTGGTCAGCAGGGTGACATGGGACACCCACCCACGCTGGACTTTGCCCGCGTGGGCCACGGCCAGCTGCTGCTGCCAGACCCCCCCGGGCCAGGCAGAGGAGCGGGAGGTTTTGGGACGTGGGGCAGGACCCATATTCCCTATAGGGGCTCCTCTACAGCCCAGCCCCGCACGACAGGGTCCCTCCTATGGACCCCTATAGGGGGACACCCCCCCAGCCCCACCTTTATAGGCAAGATCTCCCCCCCCTCCCCATGGGGGGAATCCCCCAAAAAGGACCC